GGGTTTGGATTAGGATTAGGATTAAGGTAGAATTAGGGATTAGTTAAGGGAGTTAGCAAATTTGTCACATCGCGTCACATCCCAGCCGTTCTTCAATTTACTAAGTATTCTGGGGACAGCTAATTGTCACAATTATATGTCACCCCTAATAAGTATATGTGACCCGGAAAATAAAATCTGGCTACCATTTTTTACGGGCTGTTCGGACTTTGCGCATTAATCAGATGAGTCGATCCACGATTGGTTCCTTGTTTTTCAAAAAAAAAATGGTGATTGTCACGTGTTTGATCAACATCTCATCTACCAAGTTTCGAGACATTAATTATTCTTTTAAATCCACTTTAACAGAAAATTGCCCACACTATGCTTCATTCGCGTCAGTTATCAAGTAAATTTGTAACTCCAATTAGTAGTCTGCTAAGACGTAACTATGCTAGTGTTGTTGCTTCACCCATAGTCACAAAGTCTAAAACTGGAGTCTCGGTTGTTTCAGTTGAAGGTAAATACTCGGTTTACATTTTTTTTTTTTTTGGTAATAGTTTGAGGTTTTAACAATTTATAATTATAACATAATACAAAAAGACAATGCCCCCGCTTCTTCTGTTTCCCTCTTTGTTAAGGCTGGTTCCCGGGCAGAATCCACTGATAATGTTGGAGTAGCTCATTTTTTAAAGAATTTTGCTTTCAAGGTAAGGTGTACTGTATTAGTTATGTCTTATATATTCTGAATAAACGATTACAAATTCGAAAATGTATCTTCTATCGATTAATTGGTGTATACGTTACACACTTGTGCAATCAAAAAATATATTAACCATTTCTTATTGATTAAAAGAACACTAAGGGTAAAACCGCATTTCGCTTGACACGTGAAGCAGAGTTTCTCGGTGGTATATTATCGGCAAATTTGACAAGAGAGAGTTTGATTCTTTCCGGTGAATTTTTACGTGAAGATCTGTACGTAAAATTTGTTTTTTGAACGTAGTAATTATATATATATATATATAATAAGACCTAAATTCTAACGTGCTTGGATTCAATAATTATACAGTTCTTATTTCTTGGAAGCGTTATCTGATGTGATCTTTAAAACAAAATACGAGCCATATGAATTCGATTATGTAAAAAAGAGTGTTAGTTTTGATAGCGGTGCAGCTGAAGCTATCCCCGAAGTCTTAGCCTTAAACGCGGCTCATTCAGTTGCCTTTCGTCATGGTTTAGGCAATTCTTTATTTGCAAATGCTACGACAAAGGTAAAGGATGTTGATCAAATTATAGCATTTGCTAATAAGGTTTATACTGCATCCAACATTACCGTCATTGGTACATCTGTAAACCATAAAGAATTGGTGTCGCTGACGGATAGATTCTTTGAGGGTGTCAATCATGCTGTTCCTACCACTCCTATTCCTTCTAAATACTTTGGTGGGGAATCTAGGATTGCCGCAACTGGCGAGAGTCATTTTGTTCTTGGGTTTGAAGGAGCACCAGCAGGAACTCCTGATTACTCTATTCTCCAAGTTTTACGTGCTCATTTAAGTGGAGAGACACACATAAAATGGGGTGATGGAGTCACTCCTTTAGCTCAAACTGCAAATAGACTTAAAGATGTCCAAATTGGTTCATTTAATGCTGGATATTCTGATGCTGGACTTTTTGGTTTATATATGTCGGGAGAACCTACATCCGTGTATGCGGCTGCCAGAGCTGTTGCTGAACAATTGAAGCATACCGCACATGGTATTTCAAAAGAAGATTTCCGACGCGCTATAAATAAGGTTAAATATCACACCGCTGTCTCTTATGATACACGTGCTTCCAAAACTGAACTTTATGGTGGCCAGGTAACATTATAATTATAGCATTGAATTTATTTTAATCTTGTGTTCCTTACATTTCTACATTTATTCACTTTTTTTAAAAAAAATTTGGTGTGAAGGTTTTACATTCTGGCAAAATTATCCCTGTCTCAGATGCATTGTTCGAATTTGATCATATCACAGACGAAGACGTTAAAAATGTATGAAACCATTTTATCTGATGAACTTCTCTCGTAATACTATTTAGCTGAAATTTTTTTTTTAAATTAAACAATAGATGGCACAAAAAGTTCTTCAATGCAAACCCACAACTGTTGCATTAGGCGATATCAACACTTTGCCTTACGCCGATACTATTTCACTTTAATCAAAGGAGAAAAAAAGTAAATTATTTTTCATCATAGAACAACCATTAAAAATATATATATATAATTTATTTAATGGATCAAATTAATTTATGAAGAATTCAATAATATATGGCACAATTTTTTTTTTATTTGTGTTTCTTTTTTTTTTTATTGTTTTTGCTTTGTTTTTTTTTGTTTTTTATTTTTTATTTTTTTTTTTTAAAAAAAAAAAAGGCGCCCTTGATACATAGTATCAAATACAATATCATTTTGGTTACTAATATCATCACGGGGGCAAAAACAAATGTTTTGACAAAGGCAATTTTAATATATTATCCTACCTGTTGCCATTTTGCTTAGAGTTAGCTTGGAGGTCTCACCCAGTTGCCTACATTAAATCTTGCATGCGATGATCGTAATTAATATTCGAATAAAAATAAATGTTTATTTATTTATTCATTCATTTATTTATTTTGAGAAAGTTTGTCAATGATCTTTTACCCTAAATTATTTGGTTGGAATTATAATTATACAATAAACACAATAATGACGGATTTTTCTAAGGGCAATTCTTGTAAAATTTTCAATGGAATCTCATTACACATAAATCATGTGATTATACCCGAAAATTTTTGGCCAAAGGAAAATTTTCTTCCGAAAACGCAAAAATTATCTAGAAAATATGGCTTATCCTAATGCATATGAAGTGCCTTTTCCTCAGATAAATCCTCGAATCACTCAATCGTCTACTAACCCACCGTTTCCTACTCCTCAAAGAAGACCATCCTCTTCACCCACACCAGGACGAGAGAGAGAGCTTTCCCCACCTTCCACCCCTCAAAGAAGAAGCACTGGAAATTCTCCAGTGAGTTAAAAGAGTTTTGTTGGGTTTTTTTTTGTTGTTGTTGTTGAAACTTAAGATCAATAGTCATTATCCTTGAGGCTTCATAAGTCACATTCAAATAAACATAAAGCGTTATTTTTCACATATCGTTTGTCAAGTTTGGTCTTCCAAAGAATATTCACTTAATACCTTCTTTTTTCCTTATTTAGATGAGTTCAATAGAGAGTATAGTGACTCAACTTCTAATTACCACCAGATTATTGCTGGAGGGTTTAACTGGTTGGTCTTTGGGGCGTATGACTGAACAACAAGTTTCAGATATCTACGTGAAACTTACTAGTGAGCTAAATACGGTTATTCATATATTCGGACAGTCAAGGATTGATATGAGGTTAGGAGAAATTTTACTGAAGATGTTCCAATTTTTATCTTTGATATTTAAAAAATTTATAATTTAATTTCTTGATAGCGATCTAGCAAGTATTCCACAGGATTTAAGGGGTTGTCTAGAAATTGCTTTAAGTGAGGAAGCTTCCCCATCTGCCTTGGAAGCTCATCTTCCTAAAATTAAAGATATTATAGTACATTTATTACAAGGATTAAAAGCAAAGCAAGCCATTCTTCGTCATTTACAGACCCAAGAACAAAATTCTATGCCAGTTTTATCAAACATGACAAGGTCTGTTTCAGTTAGATCAACAAATTCAACGAGTCCAAAAGTGTCAGATGACAATCCACCATCTAACACTGTTAGAAGGAATGTTAGTTCACCTTCACGTATTAGCGTAGGTGGTAGTCCAAATTATTTGCCAGATCCTATGGATGCATTGAAACATAGCGACAACCTTGAACGACGTGCTTCTAGAAGATTATCGGCCTACACTATGCAAAGGGGTGGTGGTAATACAAGGTCAAGGTCAAATTTGCACAGTCATGATAACTTTGAATCACCATCACCTGAACCAGTAGTTCCTTATTCGGTTGAAAAAGATGATGATGGGACAATGAATCATGAGGAACGGACAGATGAAAATACTTCAGTTGGTCTACAACCTGTATCCGAACTGCCAAAAGATGAAGATGCTTCTAATGCTTCTACAGTAGAGAAACAAGATGTAAAACTTCCGACTATTAATATTGAAGGTATTAATTTAAAACATTAAATTATTTTTTATTTAAGAACCTTTGAAAACCTTTTATTGATTATACCATGTTAATTTAGAACCGCAGAAAAAGAAGAGCCTTACATTATATTTGCAACTTGGTAAAGGTGTCAAGAAAATCGAATATGATGGGGACATAAGTATCCCAGCAATAAGAATGTTATTCATTGAGAAGTTTCAATATAATCCTGGAATGGATGATTTTCCAAATATATATATAAAGGATCCAAGTCTAGGGATATTTTACGAATTGGAAGACCTTTCCGAGGTCAAAAATAAATCGGTGTTAGCTTTGAACCTTGAAGGTATAGAGGTTAAAAATTGATCATTGATTTTTATTGAAACTAGAGTGTTGATTAATTTGAACTTTTTTTTTTTTTTAACTCATTTAGCACTCGAACAAGTTAAAAAACATTTCGATCAAAGTATAGCTAATCTAACGAAGGAGATATGTGACATTAAGAAGTCATTCTCAGAAAATACAGAACTTTTGCGTCGTGGTAATCTTGTTAATTCTGTTCCTCCAACACCGAAACCCACCGAAAGTCATTTTAAAGATTTAGCAAGAATTGTCCTTTCTAACGTAAAGAATAAAAAAGAAAAAGATGAAAAAGAAGAAGAAGCAAAGCTTAGTGAAACAAGAGATGTGCTTGTTATGAAAATTGCTAACGATCTTAGAGGACAATTTGACGAAGTTCAAAATCTTCGAAGAGACTTGGGGGTTATGCGACAATTCTATAATGGATTTCAGTCAGATACAAAAAAAATGATTGAAGACTTGATGAAACAGACAGCCACGGTTAATCAAGTTGCAATAGCCAAAGTTGGGTCAACAAGGACATTTATTGAAGCTGGTAAGGATAAATTGGAAACGCGTACAAAGAATTTAGTTACCAAAGTAGATGAATTACAGGATATTATTGATGATCTTAAAGCTGATGTTACAGCGAGGAGAAGTAAACCACGAGAAACAGCAGTTCAACAAGTCAAGGAAGAGTCGGACGCTGTTGCTAAAGAGCTTGCATCTTTGCAGGAGTACGTTAAAACTGTTAAACCAATGTGGAAGAAAACATGGGAGGAAGAATTACAAATGATTGTTGATGAACAACAATTTTTAATTCATCAAGAAGAGCTTATTGAGGACTTAGAAGATGATAATAAGAAATTAAAAGAAGTATTTGAACAAATCATGAAAGTCGTAGAAATACAATCTAAATCTAAACCAAAAGAATTTTTTGTCAAACCGAGAGAGGAAGGGTTCGAAGGGTTAAAATCGGTACTTCAAGAAGTTCGTGGAATTGCACCTGATCATGAGAGAAGGATAAAAGCTATGGAATTAGCGGAAAAACAAAGAGAACGCGATTTAGCCAACCGTATTGATGAATTTGAATTAGAATTAACAAATTTCGTCGCTCAAAATAAATTAAAAAAGACTGGTGGAGCTGAGGAGATAGAAAGGTTAAGACAAAAGAAAAACGAAGAAAATTTAAAACAATTATTCAAGGCAACAGAAAATGCCACAAATGAAAAAGGCAAAGAAAATAAGGATAGTAACGAATCATAACATTAATGTATTTTATTATTATTGTATAATTTATTTTATAAAAAAATTTTTTTTTTTCCATATATTATTCTGTGTCACATTTAATAACGTGATTTTTTTCATATCATAATTGGAAGATAATCTTAGTGTATTAAGCATAGTAGATCTTATCATAAATTTCCTCCTTATTTTCTAAATATTATTATTACATCATTAAAAAAAACTTATATAATCTTAAACTACTCCTATTTTCTTTTTTTTCGATTTTCTTTTTTGACTTATTGGTTACTACAGTGTTTACACATATGATAAAAATGTAGATTTTGGCTGTAAGTCAAAGTAGCATTATAAACGTTGCATAAATGGTTTTGAAAAGACGAATCGTGTACAGTAGCTGAGTGATTTAGAATTTCATCAATGGTAACAGAGTTATCCTCGATCGAAGTATTATAAACGTGGTTCTGAAAGTGATCAATATTTGATTGTGTGACCTGAATTGGAAAAGTAATCAAGTTATCCTCGATTGAAGAAGTCGGACTAGCGATGAAATCGTCTATTTGCATGGTTTGCATGTTCAAAGTAGTATTGTTATAAACGTCACAGAACAAGGGCTGATCGTGAACAGTGACGTGATTTAGAAAATTATCAAAAGTAACAGAGTTATCCTCATTCGAAGAAGTCGGACTACTAGCTATGAATTCGTCAGTTCGCATGTAATCATTTTTATTTTTTCCATTATTCAAAGATTTAGGATCAAATAAACGAATTTGAATTTGAGGTGACATTTCTTTATGAAGTTTTTTAGCTTGTTTGGCAAGATCCTCGTAATAAAATTTAACATGAGCTGGTTGTTCCCTCCAAGTATCTGCAATCAAAGTAGACAAAAACTTTTGTTTTGCAATAACCTTTTTGTCTTTTTTAAGGTATTCAATACATTCTTTACGAAACAATAAGAAGGCATTGAGAGTCCGTTTTGGTATATGCGCATTTTTGAGAGAGGCTACTTTAGAGCGATGTGGTTTCGTCTTCAATATTTGCTTGAGATCCAAGTGCTCAGGCGGGAATGGCACCTCGTTTAAATCTTTTAGGATCGAGTCCCGATGCGTAACGGTTGATACGATAGAGGTCATGTTTGAATTCGAATATAAATTTTTAAACGCGATGATTTTCTGATTTTTTTAACGAATTTAACTTGAGGAAAAAAAAAAAAAAAAAACAAAAAAAAAAAAAAACAAAGGTAGGATAAAATAAAACAAAGGGTTTCGATCTTTAAAACTTGAGTTATGATGGGAACGGTTATATATAAATATATAAATATTTATATAAATATTTTTTCTGTTGTCTCTATCTAGTATTTATTTTATTTTTTTTTTTTTTCTCCATTTTTCCTTCCAAGATTTGTCGAGTATTTATAAACGAAAAATCATTCCAAAAGCATATGAACCTCAATGTATTTGTTTTTCAAAGGTCATTCATTAAGTGAATCGTATAATAATAACCGAGAAAATTCTTCCGTTAATTGATTTTGAAGATCGCAAGAAATAGTTAATGATTCCGAAAAAAAAACTAAAAATAAAAATCAAAAAAGGTGTCATTTAATGAATTACAAGGCGATTTCTTTGGGATTCCGTGTAAGAAATCCGAAAATTTTTTTTTTTCGAAACAAATTAAATGACACCTCAATCAATCATGACTCTTTTAAGGTGAAAAAAGTTATTGAAATACGAAACGCTTAATAGCGGCAAAGCGCGATCCGACTTTCAAAATTTAAAATCATATGTAATTTCTTTGTTTCTTTTCCAAAGTGAGTCATGTATTAAAATGACCTAATGCTTAAACATTTATTTTTTTTTTTGAAATAGCACTTTGATTACGAAATGATTTGGAGAATTAATTCCTCGTTCATGTCTCAAAAAATAGTTTTGGGTGAAACAAATTTTCTTGTCACCACCCAATATATGAAGATATGAAATTGTTAAAGAGTAACTGTTGGACCTGTCGTTATTGATGATCTACTGATCTACGGATGATAACACAACTAATTTTAGTAAAATGAATAAAAAAAACCCTCACATAATAAATAAGTGAATATTTTATTAAACGATAAATAATTTTCTATACGGTTAAATCCTCGGTATGAGTTCCGATTTGTGACACGTTTCAATTCATATTTCCTTTTAAGATCCAATATGATATAATAGATCACTCGTTCACTTATCACAATATTTGAAAAGAAAAAAAAAAAAAATTTGAGTCCAGCACACTTCAAATCCAAATTCGGATCATTGGGCGTTCGTTCATTTCGGATTTTGCCTTTCAATAATGTTATTCGGCTTTTAAATACCCTCTCATCATTTCTACAATTTCCTTTTTTCGTTTTAAATAAGAAGTCTTGAACGGCACAAAAAATTTATGTGATATATATTTCATTTGGCACTTTCCACGATTACTTTCATTCATCTTTTTCAAATGTAATCTTTTGTTTACTCGATTGGAATTGTTTCAGAATTCTTTTTTCAGCCGCAATCAATAAACGTTATTTTTTTTTCGAAAAAACGCTAAAGACGATCGTCAAATATTAATCACGTGATACTTATTTTAAAAAACGATTTATTTATGTAGGGTATATTGATAAGTGACTAAATCCCGGGTACATTTTAAGGTTTTCCATTATAGGACCTTTGAATATATATTTTTTTTATTTGAAAAAATCAAAGTAAACTTATTTTGCCATATTTGGCATACAAAGGTAGAAAATTTTTTTTTTTCCGGCAGTTTTATTGCAAGAGGTCCCGGGGTGAAAATCCTATTTGTTCATCACACGAGAGAACGTCAATAGTCTGTGATCGGTCAAGTGGCCAATCCCTCCTTTTCTATTGACTACCGACAAAAACATCACAATTGGATGAACACGTGACGAAACCTTCAAAAAAAAAAAATGTTTTCAAAATTCATCAACCATCATTCCGCATCGGGGAATCGAACCCCGGCCGTCGCGGTGAAAGCGCGAAATCCTAACCACTGGACCAATGCGGATATTATGTATTGGTTGAGCAACAAATTTAGTAATTCAAATTCTATACCTCCCGCATTATTTGGAATAAAAAAAAAAAAATACCACCGCTGAGGAGACAATTTCCGGAACTAGTTTTTTTCTCTTGGTAAATCTTTTTTTTTTTTTGTACTAAGACAGATCTTGAAAATCCTTCATTATTATTTTATTTTTATAGTTAATTAACTTCTTATATCATCACATCGGTTAAAAACGGTTAAAAAAGTTTTATTGGGAATTCATGATCTTCTTAATCAGGTTAATTATTATCTTGTTTTAAAAAATCCATTGGGATATGAAAAAAAGTTCGAGTAATGACCGATCCTTCAAAAGTTATTTAAAACATATGCAAAATGCAAAATTCAAATGAAGAGATTCAACAGTACACAAATAATCACACTTTCCAATAGAATACTATATGACGTAAGACGAAAATTATTTATATAAATAACCAATCTTTTTTTACCTTTTCAATAATATTCATTCATTTAATATCACAAAATGAATATGGCGACCAATCAATCTAATCACGTGATCGAAAATTATAAATCGGAACTCGTTAAAAAAGAAGAAATAATTGAAAAATTATTTGAAGAAGTTGACGAATTAAAAGAAAATCAACAAGAACGTAATAATACCTTTAAAAAATTGGAAAAACAATTTAAATTACTACAGGTTGATTATCATAAATCATTAGATACGTGTAATAATATTACAAAAGAAAATAAAAATTATTGTGACAAGTTAGATAAAGTCAACTTATTATTAGAAAGATCCGAAACAGAAAAGAACGAGTTAAAAAAACAATTATTTGAAAGTCAAGAAAAGATACACACATTGGAAAATTATTGGAATAAAAGAGAAAGTGAATGGCGAAATCAATACGACAAATTAGTTAGCCTTTACAATGATCTAGAAACAACAATTGCGGATTGGACAGGAGAAACTGACTAAAAAACGTTCAATTAACGGTTATGCAACGGTCCAAGTGCAAAAACCCGTACAATATCAACCTTGTTTAGGCGTGAGCGCGATTACTGTGAATTGATAATTTTCGGGGTCTCTTTCCATAAATTTTTTGATAAGTCTAGCCGAATCCTATTAAATCATGGGACAATTTAGGTTACATATAACATATTAAATCATGAAGTTATGATTATTCTCATTATTTATTTATTTATTTTTATCTTTACTAACCTCCAATAGATTTTTACATGGGCCATGATTGATAGGAAATGGTTTTCTTCCATCCAATTCATAGATAGATCCATCCTTTTCAATAAAAGTAGCGAAATGCAAATTCACAACTTCATCTTCACTTGGCGTCTGTTAATATATAAAACAAATTAATTTATGTATGGTTACAACAACGAAAGATTTTGAAAACTCGGTAATTTAAACTTGCACTTGTTTGTCCTGACGATGCAGATGACTTGTGGGCTTCTGCCAACTCTTGGTCTTCCTCAAGAACTTTAGCACGTTCATCGGATGTTAAATTCTTTGATATATCCAACAAACGTTTTAGTGGACCCTCATCTGTCGAAAAGTCAGCAAGAGACACGTGTCATTATTAATGATAGTTTTGCGCGATTTTATAATGAAAACATACCAATTGGAATTGCGTCCGTATTACTGCCAAGTGAATGTAATAATCCAATGGTTCCGCACGCGTTAGAGATGGTTTGTTTAAAAAACATTACATTTGGGGAAACTTCCTGTCCAATTTCTTGAATTTTGTTTACTTCTTCTTTACTATCCCTTTCGTAGTTGTCAGTGATGGGAAAAAGAAGAATGACTGCTTTGACAGGTTGAGGGATCATTGACAGAATTTCACTATCAAGACCTATGAGAAATAAATTTTATTATTAAATAGATAATTCATCATTTTATTCCTCGAAACAAAAGTTCGATACTTAACCAAAAACGTCGGTGTAAGCCCAATCTTGAGAAACACCCAGTTTATGAATATACTATTCAAGCGAATTCAAAAAAATTTGAGTTTAATATGCATTATAATTTGGTTATGGAGAAAATCCTGCCAGTTTTCAAATTTTTTTTTTTTTTTGAACTTACGTCGCTCATAACCTAAAAAAAAAAAACAAAAAAAAAAAGAACTTGAGAAAACGTCAAAAAAGAAAAGCTCACTTAAGCGGGAAAATATAATTGATTACTTGTGGATTCGATTCCAATGGAAGCCACCTTGACTTTTTTTCGCGTTGAGTTCCCGACATGATATTTAATTCAATCAAAAAAAAATATTTAAAAAAATTAAAAAATTCGTTTCATTTATACACTTTTTGATTTCTTGGCGCAGTTATTGCGTATAGATTACGTAATTTTAAATTAAGAAGTCACGCGAATTAAGATAAACTCACGTGATGATTACCATTTTTGATTTCGATTAGATAATAAAAAATGATCGACAAAATTTATCGAACATTATTGATCAAAATTTTTAGATAAATATCTATAAATCACATGATGAATGCGATCTCAAAAAGTGTAACCGAACGAGAACTTTGAAAAGAAAAAAAAAAAAAAAAAACTTTCATTTAGAACACAGAACACACAACACATATGATGTCTTTCTAATTCATATATTATATCAACTACCTATTAATGAACTTTACGATATTTTCGCTTTTTTTTTTTGGTTCAAAACAAGATAAATAAAATATGCGTCCAATAATAACGGCAAGGTTAACAGCGGCACAAAAATCCAAAGTCACATTTACATTATTCTCAAGTGTTGCCCTATTTGCAATATTTACAGTTGCAGCTCCAGCTCTCTTACCTTGTCCAGCATTTGATGAAA